TATTTTGCTGAAATGGCAATTCTGGCTTCACACTTTTCTTTCAACAGTTGTTCCATTAGATTTTGAAATCCATAATTTCCAATGGAAAGTTGTCTGTAGTCTGCAGCACCATTCTCTTGCACCACTTCTCTGGCTACTGTCATAGCTTCTCTTCCTCTTGGTATAGTTTAAATATAGTTCTCTGTATATTTTTCCCAGTTGAGGCTACTGGATTTTCTTATTTAAAAAGTAACAAAATTGGGAAATTTAATAGATTTTTTTTTTGCTCTTATTCTCCTTCCCTTCTTCTGGGTATTCAATTATATATATACAATGTTGCTTATTACTAATCCTTGAAGACAGGATACTAACATATGGATAAACTTGTTAAAATCTCTTTCTCCTTATATTCATGTTGGGTAATTTTTATTGATTTGCCCTCAACTTCTCTAACCTTTTCTTTAACAGTCTCCAATCTGATGTTAGTCAATCAGTGCTTTTGAAGTGTCAGATATTTTGTTAATGTATGAGTAGCATCTAATTTATTCTTGTCTATAATTTTGACTGTTTCTGTTTAGTCTCATCTCCTTATAATTATAACATTTTTTTTACCTTAAGGTCCTTGAATATATAATATTTTCATGGCATTGTTAAAACCTTGCCTAATAATTCCAATAGGATCATCTTGGGATCTATATGAATGGACTGATTATTTTTGTAAGTAGTCTCATTTTCATACTTTTTTGCATGTGTAGTGATTTTTAGCTATAAGCTGGACATCATGGATGAAATTTTCTAAGGAAACTAGATTTATGATATCCTCCCTGAGAAAATGTCAGGATTTTTCTGTTAGAGAACTAAATAGCAGATACTCTTGCTCTAATCAAGATTAGTTTTAAGCCATTGCTGGAATAGGTTTACTTTGGCTTTCAAGCCAAAGAGTGGCCCTTTTATTTAGTTATTTTTAAAATTTTTATTGGTCTTGGGGCTTGAAATCTGGGTCTAGGCGCTGTCCCTCAGCTCTCTACCACTTGGCAAAAGAGTCACTTCTGGTGGTTTATTGGATGTAAGAGTTTCACTGACTTTCCTGCCCAGACTGGCTTCGAACTGTGATCTTCAGATCTCAGCCTCCTGAGTAGCTAGGATTATAGGTGTGAGCCACCAGTGTCTGGTTAGGTGTGGCCCTTTCTACAGGTCATGCTCCTACCCTTCAACATGACATTTCTTAGACTTTACTATGGCCCAAAAGCATCTCCTACCATCATTGGCTGTCCAGTATTTCTGTATAGCAATTCCTGCTGCATGGAATTTCCCTCCTTACATGCCTGTCTTGGACTTTGGCTAGGAGCCTATAGTAAGTACCTGGTCAGATTGTGCCACTGTGCTTCAGTGCAGCCTTGACCTCTTCAGTCATTCGCTTGAAAATAACAGCATAGCTGGTGGTCAGCTCTTCAAATCTATGTCCCTTCCTTTCAGGAAGACCGTATTTCAACTTGGTCTCCATAATTAGGGTATGAAAATAAAACCAGTAAAAAGCTGAGACAGTGGTGGAGATCACTATGGATAATTCCTTTCTTTCAAAGTTCAGTGCTAGTCTAAAAATTGTCTAATGCTTGAAAAACTGTTTGTTCATATATTTTGTCCAGTTCTGCAAAAGTTGTTTGCAGCAGTAACCCAGGTTCAGTAACAGCAATTCTGTCATGGCTAGAATTTTTAAAAGAATCCATGGATCCATATATAATTTTCAAAAATAATATTTCTGAAATAGGGCCAATAATTATAACCAAAAGTTACAGAAATGAAGCTCAGGCTAAGTTGTGAGTAGGAGTCAGATTTCAGTCTCTGTGCTTCTACATTATGAAATTATATTTTTCTTCACAATATTGATTACAGTCTGTACTTATCTCATGCTTTTACTAATACTAATGTACTTTTTGCTTTTGTTTTGTACTTCTGTTGGTATCTTGTGTATTTCAGTTTATAACTACTAGCCTGAGGTCCAACCCAGAAACAGCCTTCTGTTATTTGCTCAATGAAAAATGATTGTATGTCACTATCATAGAACAGTGTTAAAAATAGCAGCTTTCCACATACTTGGAACTTAAAACTTCGATTTCATATTGCCTGCCACCTTGTGGCAGCAATTTGGCAACAAAGAAGAACTACAACTGGGGAATACAGAGGAAGAGTCATGGAAAGAGTTCCAGCAAGCTTTGTGTTTTTGAGGAGGCAAGTGTAACTAGGAACCCATCTCAGGAATGTTCAAATCTCTACTGAAAAACAGTGGCCCTAGTCTGATTCAGGAGAGAGCTCATGTCTTGACTGGTGAGTCTACATCTCACTTTTGGCTGAAATGAAAAATGATATCTCTATTTGTATTCTTGCATTCATTACAAGCAAAAAGTGATTTTTGATAACAATTGTGTCTAGGGCTTTGTGTCACTCATTATTTAACTGACAATACATGCTGATTGATTCCCAAATGTATCTTTGTTGATCTATAAACTGGAAAGTTATGGTTCTTGTAGTCTTCTACATGACAAAACAGCGTGCATTCATTCTTATCAGAAGCAAACCTACAACGGTAATTTTTAAGCTAATTTGTGTGTTAACAAGATGCCTAAAGATATGCAGTAGACCTTACATTTACATGAAATTAAAGAGAGGATGCTTCAGCAAATGCAAATAAATGCAAAAAAGGAATATTTTAATTTCAAACCATGATTAGTTATCAACCATCACAATGTAGCTGTAATACAAAAGTATAATTTGGCATTCAATGTATAACTAATGGTTGTTGCTATTTATAGTCTAAGTATCCTGATTAATTAATTAATTTTGCAAAATGTATTTATTGATTATATTTCAGACTTTGTTTTAAAATCTGGGATCTGGTAAAATGTTTTCATATGAAAATCATATACACTGATTTTTATAGTACTGCATCATGACAAGCCCAGTAAAATGATTTATTTCTCTTGGTGCATTATTAATTGTATGAATTGACTGTTTAACCTTTATCGATTTGCATTTCTTACTTAATGCTCAACTTACAAGCAAAAATTATTTTTTCCATAGAAAGAGGTATATGAAATTTAATAGTATTATAATAGAGAAGAACATACTACTATTCATCATGATATTTTTTTCCCTCTGAATACATTTCAAGATCTTGAAACAGCACCCAGTTTTAAAACAAAAAATTTCTTTTTCTAAACAGTGAGTCTACTAACTATGCATTTTATTTATTGGTCTTATATTTGATTAATGGTGGTATTCTTGATTCTTCATTGCTACTGCCATTTTTTTAAATAAAAGAATTGACTTTTTTCATGATCATGCAATTTGAAACACTTATTAAATATAATTTCTATTAGTAAATATTATTAAAAACCCACCCATCTGCACATTCAGAACTATTATAGTATTTTCCCTAAAATGTAGGTCATATTGGAAACCCTTTTTAATGTCTGCTGAAAATCATGGAGAAGGTGAAAGATAATTTATTTCCATGTGTCTGAATTAATTATTGTTTATAAATCCCTTTCCATTTACTGATCTAGTCTCAGTTTTCACTAGCTCTTCCATTTTTTTGGGCTCCCAAATTAACCTAGGAGCGCAGACGTTGCAATATTTTTGACATTCTGAAATACAAGCTATCTTTCCCATACTGCCTCTTTCAAATGGAAATAGAGTAAAATTCTTTGACAGGCCATGTATCCTGATACTGGGTTGGAAACTATGATTGTATAAAATATTTCTAGATACATTAGAGAAGGCAGAAGTTCCCTTTGGTGTCAAAGAGAATCTGTGTTTAGATTATATCGTTTATATTTAAGGTGGAGAATTTCTTTCAAGCAAGTTATCTTGTGAATTTCAAACTGATTTTGCCAGTCAAGTCCAGTCACTGTTAGAGCTGTGAAACATCTTGGGTAGAAGTTTCATATCCTAGTGGTTGTGGGTTTGTAAAGGACTTCTGCTGTGTTAGCAGACCTCCCACCTACATATGGGCCTTCATATAACTGACAATTATGGATTCCAGCGGCTACAAGCAAGCAAGGCATTAGGTTTTCATATTCATATTAGTTTCACTATTTGTATCCAAAAGGAAGTATAAGGTTGTAAAAACAGGAAATAGCAACACAAAAATTAGAGATAAATTGCTCTAGGTCAGACAGGAGGAGTTGAGGCATTATAATTTGAAGGAAAGGAATAGATGAAAGGCATGCAATTTATTGAATTTCTCTTTGATACAGGCTAAAATTAAGAACAAAACCTCTAGGAGATAGGACAAGAATGGGTACAGTTTGTGTGTGTGTGTGTGTGTGTGTGTGTGTGTGTACCAGTCCTGGGACTTGAGCTCAGGGACTAGGCATGTTCCTTGAGCTTTTTTGCTCAAGGTTAGCACTCTTCCACATGAGCCATAACTTGCTGATTAATTGGAGTTCAGAGTTAGCACAGGCTAGCTAGGATTGCAAGTGTGAGCCTACAGCGTCCGTCTAAGTACATATTTTTATAGATGAAAAGGTAGGTAAGGTAAATTCTACAATGCATTTTGGTAACACAGTGACAACACTCACTGGAAGGATGTAAATACAGAAAAGAAATCTTTAAGGATGCTCATACCCTTTGGATCAGGTATGGTATCTCACCAAATAAGCCATACTCTTCTAACATGTGCTTCCTTCTAGCATTCCTCATCTCTTCCAAAGTTTTGGAAATCCTTCTTACCGATCAATACTACATCCCTTCTTCATCTCCTCTATAGCAATTTGCTACCACAATTGTCTGCCATTTTCATTTGTCCTGGATTATGAAGCATTGTTAAGTGTTTGTTTCTTCCATTTTGTTTTGCGGCTCTCTTCTCTGTCTCCCTGATTTGCCTGGCTTTATACCAACAAAGCAGTACATAAATGGTTTGTCTCATCATTCATTTAAAATGAAACAGATGGTGATCAGAGAGGTTTAGACAGTGCCCTTTGCTTTTTGGCTGGCGGGGTTTAGCACTTTTTTTTTTTTACCTGTGGGCGTGATTCAGGGCAAGGTCGGGCTTCCTCATTCGTAGATAGCAGGTGACAAGCTTTGTCTCAATGAAACTTGCCACGCTTGCTATATCTTCAGCAGATGCTTCAAAGGGTTTGCCTAGAGCAGCCCCTTTGCTGCAAAGCTTAATAGAAAAACAAACAAAAAAACCCAATACGTTAATTCTCCTAATAATATTGTCAGCTAATCTATCTTTTAAAGAAGCAAAACATATACATGCCCATAAACTTTCTCACAACTCTAAGTAAAATATTAACATTTTGATTGTGCCAAATAAATTGTTCCTGGACATTATTGTGTAACTATAAGTGATACTTTTTACTGTAAAATGTTTCTTATAAAATATTTTTATGGTATGATAGATTTTAAAGTAGTGTCATTTGCTAGGAATGGTGGTTTCAAAAATAAAGCATACAATAAGCAGATATTAACGGAAAACTAGGCATAAATCATATTAAATACCAGTGCTTTTATGAAAACCCAGCTGAGCAATGATGTAGCACACTATCAAGTTTGATTTAATATAATAAGGGGTATCGGAAGTAAACTCCCAGGAACCATTAACATGATCGGTGATTAATTTTGAGTCTGAATCATATTCTCTAGGATGATATCGGAGGAAAAGAAGTGAAAATTTATTAGGATTTATTGGCAGTGGCCACAGTATCTGAAAAGCATGGCAAGAATCTGGAATTCTTAATAAAAATTCCAGGAAGTCAATGGTTTCTGGGCAACATAGATAAACTGTAGAGAAAGAAAATAATTAATTTTTTGGGAGAACCCCAAACATTAAAAAGTGTTTATAATATAACAAGAGTGGATCAGCTTGCCCCTACCCTGAGTTTAATTTTCTACTTCTTTTCTTGGGGTTAAGATGGATGGAGCTGAATTCAGTTCACTGACCTCATGAAGATTCTTCCTTTGCTCTATTTTGCCTCTGTTGTTGTCTATGCTGGGGAAAATATTCTCATTGGAAATAATAATACTTGGAGTTACCACTTACACACATTTAATATAAAATGTCTGGTGTTCTACCTGTTATTTGTTTAAATTATATGATTTTTACATCTTTTCTCTTACAAGATAATGTGTTGAGACTAGCTTATCCTTTACATGAACACTATGATAAATCATAAATTTCAATATGCAATGTGGTTAATGACAGTGACTACCTTTTGTTCTAAAATGTGGTTGTCTCCATAGTCTTATCCAAAACAAAAACAAGCTGGAAAAGAATTTCGAATCAAGATATTCAAATATATATTTATATATATTTACATATATATTTGAATATATTGGATACATATTTGAATATATATTGAATATATATATATATATATATATATATATTCAGTATATCAGTTACCTGATGCTATAATCTTTTTCTTTGGGAATCCTGATAATTCTGTAGATTTATGTTGTTCTTAAAAGCTCTTTGCAAGTTGGATGAGTGGGAAATATTACTTCATCCATTTAGTAAATAAAATTGTTGTTAATCATTTAACTATGATTTGCTAGGTAAAAATTGCTGTCTTCACATTTTAATGAGTTAATTAGGCTTCCCTATACATTAGCTGATGCATGTTTCTGCTTTCTTTCTATTCTTTACCTGTTTCTTTTTGTATGTTAATATTTTTCTTGTTAATTTTATTATCTGTTTAAATATATAAGCTATTATCCCTATTTTGTTAAATATATACATATATATACATATGTATACATATACATATACATATAGATGTATATATGTATATGAATGCATATGTATAAATAGAAATACAGATGTATATATAAATACAAAATATATAAACATATTTATAGAACATATATAAAATATAAAGGTATTATGTATATATGTATAAATACAGGACCTTTACCCCTGAATCATCCTTTATAAAGGATCAGCTTTTATGAAGGCTTTCAGAAAACACAGCATTAACTATTCCTGTCAATTATTTGAAGACAGAAACTGAAGACTATTTGTAGAAAGAAGATACCATGGGAATTACCCCAGTTAATGCTAACTAAATGTGAGTGTTTCATGGAGATTTCTTGATGAGACTGGCAATAAAAGAGAGAAAACATTTAACACAGATTTAGCAGTGATTCCTTGAGAGTTTGACTTCAGAAATGTCAGTGTGCTTGTACACAGATGTTGAGATATAATTGTAGAAAACATTACAGTTTGGACATGTCAGCTTGGGGCTGTATTTCCTCTCTGCTACTAATTTTATCCCTCAGAACCCAGAAATAGCTAAATCAAATTTTGTAAATCAAAAGCATGGAGTAATTAGTAGAAATTATATATCATAATTTATTCTCATAGAATTAAAATTATAGATTAAACTTTCCTACTTTAATCAGCATACCCTAAGCTTTAATAGTAAACAATATAAAATCTTAAGCAAACAAGAACAAAGTCCCCTTTAGTATATGTGGTTTGCTCCTTCCTATCCATGTTTCTCTCTAACTAGCTGGTGTGCACAAACCTTTCTTTCTCAGACATTTTTTGTTGTTGTTCTAGTCCTAAGGGCTTGGACTCAGGGATTTTCTGCTCACTGCTGGTGCTCTACCACTTGAGCCATAGCTCTGTTCCCATCTTTTTTGTTGTTGTTGGGTAGTTGGAGATAAGAGTCTTGTGGCCTTTATTTGCCTGGGTTGGCGTTGAACCTCAGTCCTCAGATCTCAGCATCCTGAATAACTAGGATTATAGGTGTGACCCACCAATGTCCAGCTTCTTCAGCACTTTCTCTAGAATGGATTTTTAAGCCATTCAGAGAATTGGGGAGTAGCTTCTATGAGGACATTCAAATCCTTCATGGCAATAGGAAGTTGACCTTCAGACTTTATAATATTAAACACTTCGTCTATAAACCCTGAGAGAAAGTGAAGAATGTCTGATGGCGTAAAGCCTGCAATAGTCTCTACTTTTATGAGATCCAAGGCCAGAAAAGGAATAAAAATGATCAATCTTAACACAAATGAGAATACTTCATGAAACCAAACTATTAGACAGCAGTGAAAGACAAGATAAATTTTCTATTCAGATTAAAAGGGGGAGGTAGAAAGTCTGCTGGGTAGGTTTTATGTGTATTTGTGATGATCTTGCTTTATCAATCACATATTGTAAGGTTGAAAACTTTACTGATTTTATCAAAAATTGCTTTAGTTGCTGTTTTCCAAAGCAGTACATCTTTGAAATAAGCTTTGCCGTAAGACAAGCTGTAATAAAAAGATGTAGGGGTTAAAAGCAGAATTACAGGTCCATATAGATAGAACTCTGGCAGCTGGATCTTGAAAAACATTCCAGATATTTTACTGAATTTTACAGTTTACAGGCAGACATGGTCACAGCACTGACAAGTTCATTCTCGAGAACACAAAGGGACTTTGATGTGGTGTGAATTGTTTGAAATGTAGACAGGGCAACTATATCCAACTTATATTTGTCTTAAAATATACTCTTTAAAAATCAAAAGGATATGTACTCATTACCTGATTATGTAACTATAACCCCTCTGTACATCACCCACAATAAAGTTTTTTTAAAAAAGAAAAAAATAAAAATCTACATATAAAATTTTTTTTAGTGAAATAAATCACAGAACCAAGGGAATAAAATCTTTACATAACATAAAGTAGAATATCACTGGGGAGACTTTGAATTAGTAAAAACTTATTTTATATTACAAAAAGATCTAAAATGTTTCTGAATAAGCTGTAGAAAAATTGAAAGGTAAATGCAATAAAATATCTTAGAAGCTAAAATATCTTGAGAAGCTAAATATTTATGTAAGATTTCCAGTAGTAAATTAGAACCATAATCTCACATTTTAATTAGAAGGTATATATTTGGCAAAAACATTAGATAATTTTTGAATTACCTAGTATTTAGTAATATAACTTATATAATCTAATCTAATCTATAATAATTTAATTTTAATAATATATACTATACAATGTAACATAATTATTACAATATACAATATTATTTAATATATAATATAACAATACAATGCATATGATGAGTATGTAATAAAATATATTGTAATTATTATAATACAATTATAATATAATTATGTGGTATAATTATATCATTATTATATCAATCAATATTTCTAATTGACAGTGAGATAATTATACTTTAGAGTTAATACTTTTTCATAGACTACCTAGAATTCTCTTAAGTAACAAATATGAAATCTATACAAAAATTTTCAAGGGTTGTTTAAAAAGAGATAAAAACATCAAAGCACAATAATCACAGAAATAATGTTATAATGAAGTATTCTTTTTTCTTCCTGCTAGTCCTGGGCTTGCAGGCTATCCCTTAGAGTCTTTTGCTCAAGGCTAGCACTCTACCATTTGAGCCACAGGACCATTTCTGGATTTTTTGAGTAGGTTTTGGAGGTAAGAGACTCATAGCCTTCCCTGCCCAAGCCAGCTTTGAATAATGATGCTCAGATCTCAGCCTTTTGTGTACCTAGGATTACAGAGGGGGCCAGGAGATCTCAGTTGCAGTTGTATTCTTAAAAATGTTACCATACATCGGAAGGGATGTGAAGGGTAAACAAAGGAGGAGGCTGCAATGCTTGATAAGAAATGTACTCATTATCCTGCCCATGTAATTGTAACCCCTCTGTACAGTATGTTCACAATAAAAAAAAATTACCATACATTTTGTGTGTGTGTGTGTGTGTGTGTGTGTGTGTGTGTGTGTGTGTGTGTGTGTGTGCGCGCGCGCGCAAATACTGGGACTTGAACTCAGGACCTGGGCGCTGTCCCCTGGCTTTTCTGCTCAAGATAAGCACTTTACATCTTGAGCCACAGCTCCATATCTGGCTTTTTAATGGTTAACTGGAGATGAGAGTCTCATGGATTTTCCTGCTTGATTTGGCTTTGGACAACAGTTATCAGGGCTTAGCCTCCTGTGGAGCTAGGACTACAGGCATGCCACTGGCACCTGACCACATTTTACTTTTATTTGGGTTAGATTTATTTTGCTAAGTATTTTTTTTGCCTTATCAGATAATTATTTATACACAGTACACCTGGGATGTAATTTTGAGGAATCGTTGAAGATTTTGAAAGAACAATAAATCTTGAAAAACATGACATGAGTTG